ATACATAACAGTAATGTTATATTAGTGTGTGTATTTGTAATTGTATCTGAATGTGGATGTGGAATATGCTTGTGTATATGCATATGTATGTGGCTGTGCATGTGTATGAGTATGAGTAAGAAAATGTATATATGTATGTATATATGTATGTGTATATGTACAGTTATGTATTTCATGCGCCCCACGTTTTTCGCTTTTCAATTTTTTTTAATTATTATACAAAAACGTGGTTTTTAAAAATATTATTTTTTATTTTGAATTTTTTTTATTTTGATATTTTTTATTTTAAATAATAATTTTTTTAATTTTTAATTTTTATTTTATATTTCTTAAAAATTACTACTTTTCAATTATTATTCTTCACTACAAAATACGTGGTTTTTAAAAATATATATTTTTATTTAGATTATTTTTTTTAGTCAAGAGTAGTAAAGACCACTACTAAAATAATAACAATACCTTTACGACTTTCATTAGTTTTATGCTGATGACAACCAAAACAATCTGGAAATGAATGAGGAAAAACTGGATCCTACCACGTGATTTTTCAGCCAATAAAAATACTCCGACAATAAAAATCTTTTCACCTGACATGTAATACTAATTTGAAATAATGGAATCGACAACAAAAGACAATCTCGAAAATATTTTCTTTTTTAAATTTTAAATTTATTTTACTTTGTATGTCTTTTTTCTCTTCATTTTCATGCATTGTCATCCAATTCTGAACTATGTGCCAAATTTGAAGTTTGTAGCTAGTCGGGAAGTTAGTTTAAAATCGATTACAAAATTCCACCCGGACAGACATACACGAAGGCAAGTTTATATAAACGTGGTAAAACACAATTTCGCTTACCTGCATTACTAGCGATGCTGCTGTTTACTAGGGATGCCGCGGTAGCCGAATCGACTAATCATACTTGCTCTATTCGAGGGTTTTTATTATGGTGACTCGGGTGGGGAGCAAACCAGTTCTTGCTAGCAAGACCATCTCTTCGCCTTTCACTTCTTGCCGAAGGAAATTCATCAACTGTTCCAAAGATCGGTCTCCTTTTTCAGTGGAGTCGTGGTTACGACTCCTCTCCCACGCCACCAATACTTCTTCTGGTAGGCAACTTTCTATCAACGGCGTCAAAAAATCCCCATATTTTTCTTGGGTTCTTCCCAAGCTAAGGACCTCAGCTTGCCTTCCAGTTCGTCATAGAGGGAGGGTAAATCAGTTTTTGCTCTTCCGGTTGCTGCGTTCTTCATAACTAAATTTAACAAATCACGTACATATATTTGTACCAGCAAATCCGCTCGTCCAAAACGCTCTTTCAGTTGTTCGATAGCTTTAGAATAATTAGCTGCCGTTGCAGGAAAACTAAGGATCAGACGTTCAGCTTTCGATTTCGGTTCCATAGATTGCAGCAAGTAATGCATTTTATCTTCGTCTGCAATATATATTTTACATCATGAATTTTCTGGAACTGACTCCAAAATGTAAGGTAATCTTTAGCTTCACCTGAGAATTTTTTCAGTTCTATTTTTGGGAGTTTAAATTTTCTCGTTTCCTTGTCAGTCGGCAGCACAGAAAGTTGTTCTTCCGAGTTTATTTGAGCACATCGTTCTAAGAACGTGTCTCGGTAATTCTCAGACTCTTCAAAATCTTCATTACATGCATTTTCTGTCGTTTCATTATGCAAAAGCTGCTCTGATATAGCATTTTGACAAACTTCAAGTCTTTGGAACTTATCATTAAGTTGAACCTTTAAAATCGATAGAGCCTTTAAATCTCTTACTTCTTTGTCTAATTCCGTTTCGATTTTCTTCACGGTGTGAGTGAAGGCAATTCGCAGTCCTTTTCGTTGTGTTTTCAAAGCATTTAATTCCATTTTCAATTCGAAATCCAAACTAGTTCAGATTCACAGTTTGAAAGTTCACAAATCAAATTTTCAGTAACGTAAGTTCAAAATTCATCAAAATCGAAATTCAAGATCAATCAGTTCAAAAAATCAATCAGGAAAAATCAGTTCAAAATTCAAATCAAATTTCTATCAAATCGAAATTCAAGATCATAAGAAAAATCAGTTCAAAATTCTAATCAAATCGAAAGTCAAGATCATAACAAAAATCAATTTTAATTCAGTCCTAATCTTATTTCATTTCGAAATCCATTCCAAAAAGCACCCGTGTCCCGCCGAGGGTACCATTTTTGTTAAAAACTGAAGGAGAAATTCCAGATCGTTCATGGGCTGCATCTACCAGATGCTGGGTGCATTGGAAATAAAAGTGACACATAGGCCTTCTAAATACAAAACGAACATTTATTCAACAAAACAAACAGCGCTCCTTGGTCAGAGCTGCTTCTCCGACGGAATCATAACATTGAATGACAAAATCTGACGCCAAGCGCAGAGGCGCGCCTCGCCAACACTTTCCTCACTGCACTTCATTTCACAACAACATATTATTAATAACTGATTTTGTTTATTTATTGATGCTTCATTCATGGATTCACATGGTGAGGTATTCATCTTCTCCTATTTCTTTTAAATCTACATCATAAAATCGGTTTTAAGCTTTATTTAGTTTATTCATAACAGTCGGATACGGTAATATTTTTAACTATGCATCTGACATATTCAATGTTGGATTTTGCACTGTTTAAAAATTCTTAAGAAATAAACAATTAAAAATAAAGAAATAAAATAAAATAAACGTAAATTTCTCTCATTTCTGTTTAAGTTTATATTTAATTTAGAACTAGAAAGCAGTTTTTAATGATTTTTCTCGGTCCATTGACACCAAGACTCTGAGGCAGACCCAAAGAAGATGGCTGTATAGCATCTAACGGAAGATATTATAATAAAAAATACCCACTTGTTTAAATCTAAGGCCAAGAACAAAAAAAATTTTGGAATGGTCAAAGGTCTACAGTTGACTGAAGCGCCATAAATTAGAAATGGAGGAACCAAAGAATTGTTAACGAATCAAATTGTCTCTACTCTTGAAATTTCATACATTGTTTAATTTCCAGAATATTCGACAATTTTGATCATTTCCATTAACGGGGTTCAATAAAGTAATTCTTTTTCATCAAAAATGTCCTGCATTATTAAAGTATTTCAGTATACCAATTTCGGAATATTTCTAAAATTCCTAGAAAAGTTGAAATTTTTTTTAATATTTCACCATTGCAGCCACATTTCATATTTAAAATTACTTAAGCATTTAAAAGGTAATTATAATATTCTTCAAATTTGTGTTTAAGAAGCTTTTTATATGTTGTCAATAACACTCAAATGTTTTCTCTTCTAAGTCAAAGTGCCTAGATTTTTTTTTAAAAAGGAAAAAAGAAATATAGACGAAATTAGAAAGGAAAAAAATTGATATTTAATTATATATTTAGTCAAGATTTTATTTATTAACCGATATTTTATTTTAAGCCATAACTCATTTTTAAAAATAATAGTGCTGCTCTCTGAAAGATACAAACTGCAACAAGATCAATTTTATTTTAAATTTAATATATTCATACTAATTTTAAATTAAACAAGTATTTCATAAAGAATATTTCACTTAGCCTCTTTTGTAAAACCACTCGAAACTCTTATAGAATCCTATAGAGAATTTAACTTGAAAAAAAAAATTAACTGTACTTAAATTACGATATATTTTCATAATATTCATTAATTTTATAATTTACAAATTAATTCTGAAATTTTATTATTAATTTTATAATTTTATAACCTAACAATACTGAAAGAAAACTGCTAGTACTTTTCATACTCTTTCATAATTTTTGTTAATTTCTATTTACTTCATTTTTTTTCTCTAATTCCGTTCTATGATAATTTATACCTGAAACAATGATGAAAACAAATCTGTATTGTTAATTTAACAAAATTCTTTTAAGTAGTATGTATAAACAATAACTTATTATAATGTATTAATATTTCTATTATTTTTATAGGATTATAATTAATGCCAAGCATAAAAATATACATTTGTTCAAGTTGGAAATAAATTTACGAGCAAAAAAAAGATATAACAGTTAAACTATTTAAATTTAATCATAATTTACTTCAAAAAATATACATTATTTTTCATTTTCAGTCGACATTCTTTAAAAAAAAAATCCCACTATATAAAGGAATGAAAGTGAAAAAAATAACAAGTGATTTATGTGAAGTTCATGAATTTAATTAAAAGCAAACTAACCATCATCCATTTAAGAAAATATTTTGTTTAATACTGTTTTTGCGTACGTGCTATTTATTTATTGTTTTGCTTAAAGGAATTGAGCCATTTATGTGGCCAGCATGAATATATAAAATTTTGTCTTTTTCCGAAGATTCTAACAGGATTAAAAGGAGGCAGGTATATGCGTATATTTCCTCTGAATTATAAAAAATATAAGTTTAAGAACAAAGAGAAAAAAACAGAAACAAACGTTATGAGGAATAACTATTTGCTTCGAAGTTGTTACAATGAGTAAAAATAAAAAATATCCTAGTTGATGATGATAATCTTTTTAGTAATTTATGATAGCCATTTCCATAATGATTTAAATGTAAGTAAAAGATATCCTTTGAAACTAAAAATAATTCCAAAGAGTTTAAAATACTTTTTTTGTCGGGCATATTTTTGCTTTGTCAATCTGATAACGCACAGTGTTCCTTCAATCAACATGAAAAATAAAAAAAGTCTAATCAGATTTTTACTTTACTTTATAATATAATAGAAGAAATACATTTACGTTAATGTTTTTAATTACGAAAAGTGTATTTTTTCCTCTTAATTTACTTAATTTTATGCATTAAAAAAGTTTCAAAAAAAACTTTTTTTCTACTCTCCTAGTAGATTTATGTAGAAACATGTAGACAGACATTCGTCAATAACTTATTCCCACAGAAACTAGAAACACTGAGCGTATAAATCGATTGAGTAAGTAAGTTGCAGGTGACGTAATAATGCCAATTGCGCATGCTTACTCGTCACTACTCCTCTCTACGTGTACATTCTTGAGGAGGCGAAACAGCGTATGCTTAACATTAGCTGCATTAATAGGTTAAGAAAATTACGAATATTGATACTTGAATTGTATGCATAAATATTGAGTGTAGTTGTATGAAAATGGTCAAAATTCTAAGATGTTATTTGATCAACGAGTTTTTGCAATCGTTCGCTAAGCTTACTAAAATAAGTTACAAAAAGAATGAAGAAAAAGAACACCAGTAACTTTATTTAATTTAAATTTCTTGTTTCATAATGTAAGATACGGGCAAAGTGCCTCTCAATTTTTACATCATGCATCTGTGTCTACATTATGAACCGGAAAAAATAGTTTTAAAATGTTTGCTTTGTGCTAACATTATATCAATGTTTCAACTCCTGAATAGAGGCTATTTAAATGATTAAATATACCAAAGGATATTTTTTGTGTGTACAACTTTGTGTAATAGATCTTGAGCACTTCGTGTGATTTCTTGAATTGGTGAATATTTTATATTTACTTTTCAAATAGTTCAAATTGATGTTTTTATTGAAATTAAAAGGAAAAGGATTATTAAAATCAAAGGATATAGTAAGATCTGTGCATAGATATCAATTCCATTTCCACTTGCAGATATGTTCATCGATTTATGCAGTGTTGTGATTTGAGATTGAGCTGTCATCGGTGACTTGGAATTAGAATAATTACAACAAACTGTCAGAGGTTTCAAAGAATATAATTTGTGCAGTGTATCGAAAAGTGTCTAAGTTATATAATTGTGGGAATACTCAGTGGATACTCATTCATGAATATACTCTCATGGATACACATTCATGGATATACACCATTGGATACTCGCCACGCCCATGGATATGCATAGTGATTCAGATATAATGGTATAATATCCTAGATTAATATATAAATATAGTATTTTTTATTTTATAAATATGAAGGGAAAAAAAAGGTCTTGTCTCCCACGATATCACATTGAGGTTTACTGCATTTTAACCATTGAAACAAACATTGAAACAAAACATTCGAACAAAAAGGGCTACAATACTTTGAAAGGATATTCATTTCACTTATAGTTTTTTAGTATGCATACTTGAAAACATTGCCCACAAAGAGAAAGTATAAATTAATGTAAATAAATAAAAACAATTCCTCTGACGCTTGTATTGATAAAATAAGTTACCTCATATTTCTTTTAAAAAAGTTTAGCCCATATGCAGCCATGATACTTTCTTCTAAATCGTAAACGATTTCATAACAGAAAGCTGAGACAAAAAAAATTTGAGATTTAAAACAAAAAGACTACTAATATTTTTTTAAATGGCAAAAAAAAACAAAAATTAGGATTCTATTTTGTAAAAATGTGGATGTGATAAAACGTTTGGTTTCGTTTTTGTATTAAACGAACGGACAGAAACTTAAAATGCTTTTTCTGTAAGAAATTTGTTTTTTTCTTGTTTTCTTCTCGTAAAAAAATCTGGCAAGTAATGGTATAAAAAGAGCTCACCATGTTTTATTTCGTGTTTCTCAGATTGAAACAAAAATTTTATTGGTATATAGTTTCCCTTAATTCTGACTTAAGTCAGATCGTGAGTAATTAATAGATTTAATTTAATATTTTAAGAAGAATGCTAAAGAAAAAAATACGTAATTACAATAAAGTTTTTGAAATTTTAATTTTTTTCCCTTGTTAATAGCAGAAGCAGCTGAATTGAAATAAAAATATAGACTCTTTTTTATTTGAAATTCAAACAGGTTTATTTTAGATATTTATTTTAATTTGTCAAAAATTCAGAACATTGTTTCCAGTTCTGATGTATATTTTTAAAAATAGGAAGATAAGACGACTGATATAATTTCAAATGGCGAAAAAAGTTAGAATTTCATGTTTGCTAAAAATATGATTGCGATAAGAGTTTTGGTTTCACTTCCGTATTTGTAGCGAATTTCAACGGATACAAAACTTAAATTGCTTTTTCTGTAGAATATTTCTTTTCTCGTGTTTCTTTGGTTGCAAAAGATATTAGAGATATTTTAAATGTTTGTAATTGATATATTTGATTGTCCGTAATTTTGGCTTCGTAAAGTAATTTATGGATTTTATTTTAATGTTTTAAAAAATGTTAAGGAAGGAAAACATGATATTTTAAATTTTAGAATTTTTTTTCTTATTTATTAATTGAAAAATCTGCTGAATTAAAATAAAAGTATTAATGATTTTTACTAAAAATTTGAAAAGGTTAATTTTAGATATTTTATATCTATATGGTAAAAAGCTATCAAAAATATTTTTAATTTTGATATAACTTTTCAAAAAATGAAAATTAATTAACGACTAATATCATTTTGAATGGCCGAAAAAATTAAGACATCATATCTGTTAAAAATATGAATGTAATAATGCAATAAGAGTTTTGGTTTCCTTTTTGTCTGTGTATTGAACTTCAACGGACGCAAAATGAAAGCATTTTCTGTAAGATTATATATATATATGTGAAAGGGTAGCAGTCATGGTGAGTGATGTTAGGCCACGCAGATAGCAGTTGGAAGGCAAAAAATATTTTATTAACTTCACATAGTATATTTAAGACATTTTCTAGCAAAGGCGGAGCTCCAAATCGCACTCAAAAACAGTGTGCTTAAGTTTTTATCTTAGGGAAAGTAGCAAAGGAATTTCCCTCTATTTTGTTATATTTGAGGGGAAAAGGGAAGTGATAAGGATTACTATTGGTTTATGAAAGAAATCTAGCTTTTCCCACACAGAGCATAGGGAGATATGTCCTGCTCTTAATTAAATGCATAGTTGAGCCAAAAATAGATTTAAGAACAGGATGTGGCTTTTAAAAGTGTGAGAAGGAATTTGGAATAGAATAATTAATTAGTAATAAAGTAGGAGTTGTTTTATAGCAAAGAAACTAACGTAAAAAGATTAATAGAAGCTTTTTATGTTACATATATATATATATATATATACAAACTAACCTGTATAGATTAAAATTAAAAAAATACTGTCAATGAAATTGAGTAATCTAGCAGTTAACAGAATTCCTAAAAATAAAATATAACAAAGATTGAACTTTATCTGGCAATTTGCAATATAATAGGTAAAACTTTAGCTATTTAAAATTCATTGCTGCCATCTATGAAAAATAAAACACTTTATGAATTACAATATTTGGAAAAATGTCAGAATATTAACCCAAAATAAAAGAAGAGTTATAGAAATCAAGAGAATTATAGAAATCAAAAAATTATTTTATTTTATAATTTTAAAACTATTAAAAAAATTATTTTTTTGTTCAAAACCATAAAGGAAGCAAAAATTTATAAATAAACAAATCCATTTATATTAGTAATATTTGTAGTATTTTGCATACAAGTACAAACAAGGAATACACCATTCTTTCATAGTATGACTGTAAGTCAGAGCCAACATATATGGATAAAAATTTTTATTCATACATTCTTTCATTACTGTAAAGTCCTTACGTATTACTTAGATTCACCGAAGTTGTCCGTTAACACTTCAAAGTTCTAATCTATACTCACAACAACAATAACAAAGAAAAAACAGTTTATTGTCTAAGACACAGAAAATAAAAAAATTAAAAAAATTATTATTAATTTACAATTAAGTAGTTAAATTAGCAAATTAGTAGTTAAAATCCGGTATAAAAGTTCAGACACCCAATTTTTTGTGACTTTTGTAATAGCGGATCATTATTAATTTTTTCATTAAAAAATAAATAGGAGTTAATACTTTCATCACAAATAAAAAAAAATAGAGTCCAAAATTGTTTTTTTATTTTGTTAAAATAGGGGTGCACAACCTTTAGGAGTGAAGGACCACTTGCACAGTAGTTAGATTAACGAAGGACCGCACATGTATTTAGGCATATTCACGGCAAATGTAGTAATATTTATTAAAACATCAGTGCTCTAATTTTTTTATCGATAAACTTTATAATATATTTCTTGAAAATTAAAGGCCATTAATTATAAGAATTCATAATGAAAAAAAAAAGACTGCAATGCTAAGAATGAAATTAGGATAAAATTTCATTCATATTAAGCAACAAAAAATTTGAATCAAAATTACAAGCAGTTAGCAGTTTAAAAATTCACGTTTTCCGCCACTTTGTGTATTTTCCAGGTTGCATTAAAATTAGGGACGCAACGAGTATTTGGCCCTTTTGATCGGCAAAATATTCAGCAGTTTTTTGTTTTTGTTTCTATTTAGTTTTTCCGTTTTTTGAAATTGTTTTTATCGATGGTTTTTTTACAAGGGGGCAATTTGTAAGAGCATTTCTGCTAGACTCCAGTTTTTTTTCTTCTTTTTCTCAATTCTTTTTTTTTTACTTTTTCTAGAATATATGGTAATTGAAAATTTTAGATGTTCAGTTTTAAAATTTTATTTCGAGAACTACGGTCGATTTTTATTACTCTGTTTCGCTTTTGTACATAATCTATTGATTTTATGATATCTCTGCATTTTTAAAAGCCTTTCTGATAGGCCTTATTTCTTAGCGTTGTTTTATAAGTACGTTTTACCAAAAAATATTTTTCTTGACATTGAAATTTTGGTTCCAATGTTGCTAAGCATCTAAAACATTTTGCTTTTTGGTCCAGAACATACGGTATTTGGCCGATTTTTTTGCCGAATATTTGTTATCAGGACTAAAGAGAAGAGAAGGGCTGGTTCAATCCTTTGAAGAAACTCTCGCCGCACCAATCCTCCGATTTTCTCTAGTGACGTCACTTTGGCGCAAAGCTCGCACTTTTACTTCAAGAACGGAGTGTTCGGCCTTGCTAGCTCTAACTAATATTGGAGCATTTTTTTTTGTGACATATTCTAAGACATTTGTTATTTTCTATAATGACTTTCCTCAGTTTTTGCAGTGAATTTACAAGAATTTAAAACTATTATCGAAATACCAGTATGCGCGATTGCAACTTGCAAAAATTCTGATAAAAAAACAAAAGGAAAAACGTGTTCCCTAAAGTAAATGAACAAATATGTAAAGAATGGATTCCGAAATGACACAGTTAATATAAAACGGCAATACGTTTATTCTATCGTTAAGATTTATAAAAAAACATTATCTAATTAGAAACCGCCTCGTTACTTCAAAAAGAAAGGCAGGTGAAAAAAATTAAAAAATAGATAAAGTAAAAAAAAATTAAAATGTAAATAAAAAATATAAATAAAATATATAGTGTATAGTTGAAATTCTCCTAATTTCAATTTTTAATGTAGTTATTCTAAATATTTATGATTTCTTTAAAAATTATATTCTCTTAAGGTGACAAGGGACTTTCAAAGAAGCAAAAATTTGTCAAAAAATCGATATTTTACATTTTATATTTTTGAAATTTAGGCATTTAACTGAACATTTTAAAAAAAAATTTCTGGAATAAGAGCAAAATTAATGAAGTTATGGCCATTTCAGTTTTGACCACGCCCCTTTTTTTACCTTTTTTTGTCTGCAGGTAACTGTTAAAATTAGTTTAGTTTAAAATTAATTTAAAATTAGATGAATATTTTGTTAATTTTTTTAAAAAAAATTTAAAGTATATAATTATTAAACTAGTTCATTCGACAATATTTATAGGTATTTATATTAAAAACAAGAAATATTTGTTCAGATATAAAATTTGCAATGAAAAAGTACTAAAAGTCATTTTTCTCAAAATTTCTTTTTTGAGAAATTTACAATTTTCAAACTGTTCCAGCGTAATGAATTTTCATTCTATTGACCTGAGAATTTAAA